AGATATTGCGATATCGCATGTTTTGCATTTAATCAATATATATGACGGAGATCGAGATCAATATATATGACGAATCTCTATCGGAATTATTTGTGAAATTTAGCAAGAAAATCTGTCTCTCTGTATAGCGCCTGTTCAGATTAAAACCATATCCGTTTGTTAATTTCTTATGGAATAATTTCTCTCAGTACATTGAAATTTGCTTGCAGATAGAATGTTGCTGCTGTAAATTATTCATACTACAATTTTCTAACAGATACAAAAAACAATGATGAAATTTGAACTGTGAGATTTAGAATTCTCTTTGGAACAGGGAGAATAATTTCTCGTATCTAGATAATTTTATTTTTTTGAATGTGCCTATAAAAATTACGCTCTCTTTCTCCTCTTCTCTCCACAGACTTGCGGCACACTTGCGAATAAAATTGTTCTCCGAGAAATTTCCAATTAGGCGTCGAGCTCTCTTCGCTTCTCGAATTTCTCCGTCTTCGAATTTCGGTCTTCCAGCGACGCCGTCCGCGTAGCGTATTCACGCGCGACCCGATCGAACGCGCACGGTACGTTTCCGCTCTTTTAAATTGGACAAATTTCACGGCGCCGAGCGCCGCCGAGCGACGGATCCTCGCTCGCGCCACCAGCAATCGATTTCCCAGGGCTAACGCGCGTTTTATGTCCGCCGCGTTCTCCTACACCTGATCATGTTTGTGCAGCCGCGCGTTTGACGTGTTTGGACGGGACCAGCAAGTAGCACGGCCATTGTTCAGCACCGCCGAGGCGTTAGCGCGATATGTCGAGACGTCACTTTCTTCTTAAGAGCAGATGGAAGATTTTGCTCGATTTTGTTCTGGCTTTATTGCCGAGCTCGCGCTTGAGGCTCCTCCCCCACCCCCTTCCATCCACCCTCGTCCCGTCATATGCATATAATCAATCACTAATTTCGCGGACGATATGTATCAACACTTTTGCGGCCGTATGTCGAGTCCACCTCGACATCGCGCTTCGTTCTGGTCGATTATGTAATCTAAATCTTTCTGTTCGTATTTAATATATATAATACATACATACATACATATATATATATATATATATATATATATATATATATAATAATCTTTTTGTTCGTATTTAATATATATAATACATAATATTTCCGTAACAGTCAAAGAGTATGTATTACAAAATATACAAAGTATACAAATATATACAAAGAATATGCAAATCTGTGTGATTTTATTTTAATTAAGTGCTGGAATATTGAAATAAATGCAAACTGCGCAACATTGCCGCGAAGTATAACTGAACTCCTACGAGTCAATTGAGAAGAAAATTCTGAAATCAAATCAGACCTGAAATACCTGTCAATTATCATACTGATTATTTAGTTTGTTGCTTTCGACTGGTAAATTCCTCCAATAAGAAGCATAAAAAAGTAAGTGAAAAAAGGGGAGAAAGAGAGGATAAGTAAAGAGAATTGTGTACAAAGTTTCGAAAGTGCGTTCTTCTATTCAAATCGTTCTCCGATTCGTTGCGCAATAGTATGTAAAATTCTGAAAGTAGGATAGCGGTTTTTTGTATTGCGAGCAAAGTCGATGAAAACCATCGAAGTACCCTACTGCTGTGACTAAACGAGTTTCACGCCGCAGTAAATCGAAGAGCGCATTTTTGACATACTTTTTATATCGGTCAAGAAACATCATCCAAGTTTCTCGATGGCGTCGTGATCGTATCTAGCAAGTTATCTGGATTATAGTTGTTATTGTTGTTCCGAGCTTCAATCGTCACGAAACGACGGCGAGTCGAAGTAGTGCGACATGAGGAAGTAGATAATATATTGGCCTGCGACACTAAAGCTCACCTCGTATTTGCTAAATAAGAGAGAGAGAGAGAGAGAGAGAGAGAGAGAGAGAGAGAGAGAGAATTATGCGGCGAGGGAGTTTAAAATAATTTGTATTAATCGAAACGGACATCGTCGCGCTAATTGGCAAAGTTTGTCTTAAGTAGAGACACCTGAGTGGGAATTAATTCGAATAATGTGAAAGAGGATAAAAGAGTGCATTAAGTCTGAATTTAATTCTGAAGCTTATAATGTTCGGACGGACGACTCATACTTACCGAGAGACATGGTATATATAAATTACGCTATTTACAACAGATAAAAGACAAGATGAAAATTGGGGCAGGGGATTTCTAGACCAGACAGTATCAAGAGGGGGCAAACCAAGCAAGGGTCGACGAAAAATGAATGCCAATGCCGACAGGCCACACAATCAAGTATGTATAGATATATGTATATACGCATCGTATAAAATGTCAAAAGAAGATAGCATACTCAAGTAAATACTCAAGACTCAAGTTTCTACGCAAGTCCCGTGCCATTTCAGCACACGATCTATAACTCGGAACGGAACGCGAGATAAAATTCACCCTCGCGATCTTGCGCGCGCGTTGAATACGCGTGAGTGTGATTATGAAATGAGGGTAAAATTTTATCCGGGATTCCGTCGCGAGAAATTATCGGTCGCTCGAGAGAAACTTTACGGACGAAGAAGAGAGCGGGAAGTGACAGTCGCTGATAAATAAATGCGGAACTGGTGGCTGGGAGTATTGTGTGCGTGTGTGTGCTGTATATGTGCAAATATGTGTGTGTACCAGACTTTCGTGCGATAATTATTAAGGTCAGGTTAAGTCGAGAAAAAAGATAGAGAGAGAGAGAGAGAGAGAGAGAGAGCAACGTGGAACGTGTGTGTTCGTGTGAGACGTGTACTTTCCAGGCATAACGTAAGCCGCTCCTGCGTACTCAAAGAAGGTAATACTTGATGACACTTACGGGGAGCGATATACGAACCACCGGCTGTCTTTTCGACATTTTCTACTTCGCTGTTCTTTCGACCGCGCGCTCTCGTCCCTACGTTGCGACATTCAGAGCTGCATTCACACAGAAGAAACAACACAAGTTAAGCACATCCTTCAATCGAGGCCGATTATTATCGATTGACCCCCCTGTCCTTCCACTCGCTCCTTCCCCAGCCCCATGGCAAATCCCCATCCGTATATTGCCGTCCTCACCCTGCCGTCTGTTAATTAGCAATTAAATCTAATCCGTCCCCTCCCCCCTCCCCGCTCGAGTCGAAATATTTCGTTGCGCCAACAGCAATTAGCACTAATTGACAATTAAACTTCCGGTTAAGTTGGCGCACGAAATTTCAGCACTTAACCCGTTAGCCGGGAACTAAATCAGCTATAATGCCGTGTGTATATGTATCGGATGTTGCGCTGTGGTGTTACTCCCGATGAGTAAAGGAACGAACCGTAGAACAATGCAAATTGCAACTAACGTAGAAGCGTGCGTATATGTCGCGAAGTGTAACGTATAAACGTAGTAAGGCTTCATCCCTAATCTATGTGTATATATATATATATATATATATATATATATATATACACATATATGGATGTGTATGTATGCGTCTTCGTGCTCAACTATAAGGTACATATCGCATTCGCGCGCTGCGTTGTTAAGAAAGTCAGGAGCGCGCCGAAGAGCCATACGTCTTCTCCCCGGTGAGTGAGTGGCTTTCGACCGACGATCGACTTGGTCCGCGTTTTTTTTTTCTCGAGATCGAGAAACGATCAAGGGACGATCAAGACATGAAAAAACCCAACCGGGCGGGAGAGGACTGTCGATAACTAGCGCAGCGTTTCCCAGCCCCTCTTCAAATCGATCGGAGGAACTCGTGGACGGAAAACGACGCGTTCGACAGATCATCCGAAGAGGAATGAAGTGAAATTTTTGCAACGGTCTTAGAAAAGGAAAGATCGATTGAGAAAGGTATTATCGCTATGTAACAGGCGCGTCGCTATGTAACAATTCTGTATCGTGTTCTCTAAATTTCTTGGAGTGAAATCTCACTTGACCCTTCAACCGAAAGTGGCGCCCGTGGACGCTGGGCGACGATCGTCTGTTGACTACCGCTGCATGTTAGTTATTCTCAAAGTTATTATCAGAAATGTAAGATTGAGCGTGGGTCACTTGGCCGATTGGATACAATCCACAAATAACGTCCAATCCATAAATATGTCATAACGCGCGACAATACGTACGCAACAGCGACGGCTATTGGATACCTCCACCCTGGATTGTGTCAGTGTTGGTCATTTTGTGGCCTACACTTCGAACAATAATCTAATAAAAAAATATAATACTTTATTTTTCTTTTACAAGAAGAAAGAAATGATTGAAAACGTTAAGATAGATTACGAGTAAAAAGCAATCAAATTCTCTGTTTGCTCGCCATGGCCATCTTGATTTATGACGTCGGAAAAGCGAGAAAATACATTCTAACAGTTTTTGCAAAATACGTTAAGATAAAACAATATGTTCACAGGATGACACTCGCAATCGAGCGAACAGATCTGTAAAATAGCCCGACCACTTTCCTTCTGCTCTGTCGATCAATTATCGTGAAATTAATATGAATCGTGGGAAAACATAGATTAACAGGTGGGTGTCGCGTTAATTTTACGATAATTTATTGATTGTTAGAGCAACAGGAAAGTATTCGAATACTGTTTCACAGGTGTGCCCGATCGTCGACTGCAAGTTCTGCTTTAGAGATATATCTTTTCATTTCAACATATTTTGCAAGAATTTTTAGTGTATGTTTTCTCGTTTCATCAGTATCATCAATTAAGAGTTCCGCGGCGAAGAAGTTTTAAGTTAAAAAAGACAATCATAATAATAAAATAACTCCATATTGGCGATAATAGACCAACTATTATTATTAGCATTGATAATATGAGGTTAGTAAATATTATTAGACACTTTTTCAATGACTAGAATTTATACGAATCGACTCGAGTGACTCGATTTTCGCTCTGTTTTTTAAGTGGAATTTCGCTCAAAGAAATTTAGAGGTTCGAATGTCCCGCGAATATCGATACGATCGGGAAACTCCGGGTTAGAGCAGAACGAAAAGTATGATGAACCCAAGCATACGAACCTTGAGGGCAGGAAGGACCGTCGCGAGGTCTGAGGGGGCCCGGGCCGTGGACGCCTGATTGGTGGCCCCGTAGCTCCGCTGTTGCTGATAGCTGCAGAGATTCTTGTGAGCACTAGCCTGAGCTGTATAAGCCGACACTGATAACTTCATTTCTCCCTGTTCCCAATAAAGGGTCTGATTCCCCCGACGGCACTGCGGGGGCCGGCTCGCATCCTGGGTCTCTCGTGATATCCTTTAAGCCACCTTAAAGGGCGGCGCACGGTTATAGATCGCCGCGCTCAAAGTTCCCAAACGTAGAGAGGCCAAGTGTGGAGACCAGCAAAGGGGAAAAGGAGGGCAACAGGAGGCGAGGACGAATCCGCGCCGAATTGGTATCCCTTTTCTGGTGGCGTGTTCACGTCGCTGATATTCTCTTTCTCTCTCTCTCTCTCTCTCTCTCTCGCTCTCTCTCCCTTTCTCTGTCGCTCTCCCTTGTTCTCCGCTCTCGCCTGATCTTCCCAATTTCACCGCCTGATCTTCTGATCCTCGCTGTTCGCTATAATCTCGCGCTTATCGACGACCAGCCGATTTTCTGCCGCGCGCGCAAACTAAAACCGAACTAAAACCGTCTGTTCCAGCCGCGAGGGTGATCCCCCGCGTTCGGGGCGTTTTCAAAAACGCGTCTTGTCCCCTCGCGTCGTCGTCGTCGTCGTCGTCGTCGCTCGTGTGGGCGCAACGATCGAGCCGCTCCTCTACGATCAGCAAAGGGCGCGAGAGGCGGAACGCCGATGGATCCGCCATGAAACTTAAGGGCCGCTCCCCGACGTGCGGTTAAACACAACGAGCGTCTGCGGCTTTTCTTCTTCTTTTCCTTTTTAGGGAAGAAAGCCCCTCGTCCCCTTCGACTCACGATTCACCCCGAGGATCTGCACTCAGGTTCGTCTCTTTTTCACGCGGTGCGACGTTATTGACTCGTTATCAATTTGTCAGGCACCCGTTTGCAAGGAAGAAGACGACGGCACCACTGGAGACCGCCGGGCCCAACTCGGCTTCTCTCCGCGGTCGCTGATTTCCCGCGAGAGTGCAAGACACAAGCGTACGTGACTTCTCGTCTCCTCCACCCTCTTTTCTCGCTGACGATTCTTCGTTGTGTGTCTCTTTCTCTCTCTCTTTCGCCCAAGTCCCTCGACGCGACTCGATTCGTTGGGCGGCGTTTTGAAGCTCGATCGATCCCGCCGATCGATACCACCGCCCTCGCAAATTCTTTCGTCGTCCGGTGTCTGACTTCGTATAACCCCGGCCGACCTGTCCCGCTTCCTCGATCTCCCCCGACTTCCAATTCGACTCTTAACTCGGACTCACTCACTCACTCATTCATTCACTTCCCCGGTCATGGCACTCCAGCACCCCCGCGAGGTCTCCGCGCGACATTCGGAGTGCTTTGTCGGATGCTCGGTTAAAGTTAAGATGGGACTTTTCGTTCCCCTGATATATGATAAGTATCTCTCTCTCTTTCTCTCTTTTCACGTTTTCGATACGTGCTTTTGGGGTTCCGTCGACGGTTCCGTGATCGAACCGATCGCGGCCACCCGAGCGACTCTGGAACTCTTCTATGGCGTACTTTCCGCCTCGTCCTTCCCTCGCTTCTTCTCTTGCAACGTTCGCGATTCAAGTTTGCGAGTTCTCCCGCGCGGTTTTGTTTACATAATTTCTCCGCCTTTGCGCAAACACAACATCCGGCCCGATCGCCAGAAATTCACGAAGTTTCGGAAAAGACCGGCGACGGTGGAGGGAGAGAGAGAGCGGGCTTTGACGAAACCACCCGGGCGAGGTACGAGCACTCCGCGTGTTTACGTACGTATCGCTCACGTTGATTAGCGAACTTCTATCAGGCGCCCGCTGAACGCTGAAGCAACACCAGCGACGCTCGCAGTTTACACTCGCGATTAATCGGCGCGCTCGCGCTCAACGCCTCGTATCCGACTGCCTAGCCGGACACGACGTCGACGTGGGCCTCAAGAGGAGACGCACGAGGACGCGAATCCTGTCCTTCGACGCTTGTGCGAGCTCGCGCACCTTCGGTTCCGCTCCATCCTCCGGCGCCGCTTCTCCCGCGACGCTTCTCACCCGCGAGGTCACTCGCGTGATCCGAAGGGAGCACACCGCGGACGGCGTCCAGGAGACGCTTACGACGGGGCTGGTGCCTTCGCGCGCACCTTCGGCGGTATCAGTTCATCGGCTCGCGGCGAACCGCGGCGGAAACGGTCGCGCGCATCGCTTCCCGCCGCATCGCGACCCCGCGCGAATCCTCTCCGCGCGACGAGGGCGGAATTTACGCGGCGTGCGTGCCGGCCGCGTGTGAGTCGGAGGGTAGAAACTGACGGAACGCCCTCGGCCGGCCTAGCGGATCGATCCAAACGACATTTCGACACCTTGCGGGAGACCGTTTTTCTCCCCTTCGCACCTTTGACGATTCTTGCGTCGTCTTCCGTTCGTGATTTGGGGAATCTCGTCTTCGTTCTTCCGTTGTTCGCTCGTCAGATTCTACGGATGATTGCTCCCGCTGATGAAGACAAGATGAAGGAAGCAAGGATCGGCTAATAAGCTCCGTAACTCTGGTATTCTTCTTCTTCTTCTTCTTGATATTGACCAAGGATTAAGATTTCAAAGGCCGGACGAGACTCGAACTGCTCGTCGAACGTTCTCGAAAATCCGTTAATCTGAGAAACCAGGTATCAGAAATGAGAAAGGGCTGTTCAAAGGGCCAACTCAATCGTCTTGGGTCGTTGAAAGCAGGCAAAGCAGATCTCGTTTCGGCCGCGTTGCGGCTCTTCCCGTTACGAGTTCTAATAAGAGGGAGATTAAGAGTCCCGTCGTGAGGCGGCACTTTCCAAATTCTGCAACATCATCGTGACGGTCCGAATGATGGAACACGGTCGCTCGTGATTAATAAAGTTTTCATACACTCGTACGATTGGATCGCCGGCCGGCGGTGCTCGCGGTACTCGTGACGAAACGCAAGGTACTCTGTTAAACGCAGGGACAAAATGATATCGAGTAACAGCAATGGAACAGGACACTGGTCTTTATTCAAGAGCCGATGTCACTTGTAAAAGCAACGAAGAATCACTTGACCATGAAGTCTAGGGATGGATCTTTGTCCCAAGGAAAAGCGCAATTTGCAGAAGTTCGTGTGCAGTTGGTGAACAATGATACAAATTTCGACAACAGAATCAAGTATCTATGGCGTTTTATACAAGTACTTATCGTCTAGGACTAAAACAAGCGGGAATGACGACTTTTCCCCAGAGAAAAGTGTTCAGAAACAAGGATTTTAACCCTTCAGTAGGCGCGTGCATCTTGTACCTTATTTTAGACGCCAGTTTTATCACTACAGACGTGTATTCTGTCAGATATATATATATTTTTATTTGTAAATACAAATAATATAAACTATGTATAATAGACCATGTATCCGGGGAGAATTTTGCAGCCGAAGAATAGATTGACTGTCCTTCTATTCCATACGTGCATTTGTATTTTAGGAACTGAAACGCTGTTAAGAAATTTGCTATGTTTCCAGCGAAATTTACTATATCAGTTTAATTTGCCTTTATCTCGATTTACCTTAGCAAGATAGATTTTACTGACAGTTTTATTTTTGCCCCACTAGAAACACAATACACAATAGAAAATCATTTATACACAAAAAAACTGTAATATTATCTCCGTTGATATTAGAAAAAATAATGTATCTTTAATGCATGATCTTTAAATTACACCTGTAGATCACGCACCTCACAAAGGGTTAAAGTCACGGCGTGCTTTGGAGCGTTTCGGTGTGCCGCATAGCAGCCACGAGGAACATGGAATAAGTCGCGAGGAATAACACCAGGACAGAGCAGCTTAGAGACAAAATTTAACTCGGAAACTACTTCGATATTCGGATGTCTATCGTAAACGTAAAGCAAGAGGTGTAGACGAATAAATATTCTCAGGACATTCAATCACGCGGATTGTACCGTAACGTCGCCACGTAGGGAAATACGATCGGCTCGTCGTGAAGAGAAGACTCGGCGCAACGATTTTGATTTTTCAATATCCTTCAACCTTGCAATATACATTGTACGTGTATAACCTCCCACTCTGATGTTTGAGGGTCTACAGTGGGGTAAGAAGCATCATGCGTTCTCAGGATGCGAGTAAGTAGCGCACGCGACGTCACCGCGAAGAGAAACGACCGACTTTGCGTGCTGGGGGGTAGTAGAGGCCGACAACAACTTAGATATTTCGATATCCACGATCTCCCCGGGTGCACGACGTGCGAGTGCACGGGCCGTGATTCTCGAGTGTGCGCGATGCGAAGTGAATAATGTTCCTGGCGGATGTTCGATTTCGCAAACGCGAGTGAAGTAACAAAGAGAAATGAAGCTGAGGCGATCGAGCGATCGCGAGCGAACCGTGATATTTCACGCGCGAACCCCTGCGCGCTGCTCCCTCTCTGAAGCACCATCGGTGCATCTCTTCACCGAAATGCTATACTTCTAACTGGCAGTTCAGTCACAAGTATACAGCACTGCAATCACAGTAAGGTCTCCCTGAAGGGATATATCAGTTAATAGTGTTACCATTACTGATGCAGTTTGCGACACACAGAGGGTGCCATCGCGCGTGCAGATTGCCTGAAAGCCGTAAACAATTCCATCAGCTGGAACGCAGAAAGTTGGATCTCGTACAACGAGTTCATGTGCCAGAGATGTTGCAGTGGAATCTCACTCCCACGGATCGGAAATTAGTGAGATATAAGACGAGGCAGTAAGCTGGGAATGTTTTCAGTGAGAGCGTCAGTGAACACACCCGCTGATCAGCAGTGAAATACTCCTCTCGCCGATTCAATCAGAAATATCTTTGCTGATTCACTTCAAAAAAATACTCGCATGCGACATCACCAGGAGTGAGAAAGAAAGAAAGACATAGAGAGAGAGCGTGTTGTACGCCAATGCTCGATCGCGCAAGCAAGAGCCGGCATCTTCTCGGGAGATGATGTTCGATCGGGCGCGGAGGATAACGCGCGTCGCCGCGATCGCGCGGAAACGATCCTCCGCTGACGCGGGGCCGGCGTCGAGGCCAGTTAGAGGAAGTCGTCGATGAATGACATCGACGTACGATATAGATGAATGAGCGACACATATCGGCCGACGAATGTGGCCGACACGTCGCTGAGCAATCGCATTAGCGAGGCACAAGCGAGCGAGCGAGCGAGCGAACGAACGAGTGAACAAACGAACGAGCGACGCGACATGCACGGCGTTAATTCGCGCGACGACGCCACGCAGGGTTGATCGACGACGACGACGGCATGGCGCGTGAGCGCGACTCGCGAAAAATCCTCGCGGATACCTGCGAGCGAGAGCGAAAGCGAGGTAGGGAAAAAGAGAGAGAGAGAGAGGAAGAGAGAGACTGGGCAATATGAAACTCGAAAGAATCCGGACAGGCAGACGAGCGACGACGCGGAGAGGTCGTCGTAGCGGCGCGTAGCACTCGCGACTCAGCTGTAACTGGATTATTGGCGACACAACGACGACGACGACGGCAGCAGCGGCGGCGGTGGTGGCGGCCGCGGAACACCCGAACGGAACATCGACTGACCACCACGAGGTCCGTCCGACTGCGACTCGCTGTCGCTCTATATTCGCCTCTCGCGCGCCTATAACCGGATTAAATATTATCATAAACTGCCCTGCGTCCCCCCCGTCGGCGACGACGACGTGGACGACGGAGACAACGCGCTGCCGCGGAACGCGAGTCCCCGTTGAAATCGAATGGCAGAAATGTGATTTCGTATCGTGCAGAGACCCGTTCTGGGACTTTCTGCAGGTTTAAGAGAAAAGGATGTTCCACGTGCGCTCAATTGTACATTGAGAAAAATTCTTTGGTTATCAGAACAAAAGCACACGTTTGCTGTTTGATGATCATTAGGAGAACAGATCGAACAGTTGCAAATCGCTTCACATCATTAGTCATTTCAAACACATTGCCTGAGATACCAATCACATTTGTTTCTGTCTATTTAGGTTTAATTAGTTATCTATTTAGGTAAGTAATTAGTTGTGTCTCCATTATAGAAATGTTGCTTAGAGCAGCAAATTGAAGGCTTAGAGTAAGAAATTATTTGTCCTCGCTGTGGAGTCATTTACTGCTTTATATCAACTATTTGTTGCGGGTACAGATATTTTGTTAGCAATTGGCAAAATTTTTTCTCTCTATATACCTTACAATGGTGGTGTGATTTTGTGATGAAGTCTCAGCTGAGTGAGAAATTTAGGCGCGCAGTTTCCGGCCTGCGTATCCAGGCAGGCTGTTTTCCGAAAAATCGGAATCCCCGAGACTCCGCGTCGCGATCGATCAACGATCGTTTATGGATTAGCGCGATTTGAATACGATAAATGAGGTGCGTTTCTTATGAGTTTCTTCTTTTTCTTTGCCTTATTTAGTTTTTGTCCCGTCGAACGCTATTATCGCGATTGCGTGTATCCAATGCAACGAACAGTAATCGCACAGTTTGACGACAACGTCGATACCGCGTATTCAATTACAACAGCCCGATCAGGAAGGAATTAATTAAAGTCCCCGTCATTGCTCCCTTATCTTTCTCTTGCTTTCCCCGTATCTCCGAAACGCGCCGATTTGGACGGTTTTATCGATCGATCGAATTAGCGATTACAAAGGATTTGCGGGTAACCGGGGTTGGAGCTACAGCCATTTGAAAAAGCTCTACCAGGGTTTTACTGGGGAAGGGGAAGATGACTGGCTCGAGTAAAAGAAGGGAAGTGCCTTTCACAATCGTCTCTTTGAATTTAGAACGTCATGTCGAGGCAGATTAAAATAATAAATGGATGAAATTATCGACGAGCGATTCAATAATTTCGCGTACAGTCTCGCCTATATTGGGATACGTTTTGAGCTTTAACATGACACAATTAAATGTAATGCAAAAGTTCAAAAATAAAGGGCAAATGTAATTGTTTCAAAGAAACTCAATTTAAATGTGATTCAACAAATGCAAGGGAATAGAGAACAAATGTGATTATTTAAATGAAATCCTCTAATTTAAATGTGATTTAACAAATACAAACACACGAAGGACAAATATTATTACTCAAATAAAGTCCAAAGAATTATACTTAAATTATACGACCATGATGCATAACTAGACATATAAAATAATAATTAATAATCGCACAATATTGATAAAATTAATCCATAAGTGGACGCGTGAGGACAAGTTGACTTAGATGCATAAACAAACGAATGAAAATTGGTCTAAAAAAATAGATAAGACTCTTAAGATAAAAAATCAAAGAAAATTCATCAATATAAAAGCAATAAACAATCAATATACAATATGCTTTTTTATCACAATAATATGTAATAATAAAAATTTATATCATTTATTTTGCGTTGTGGTGAATCGGGACAAAATGGTGCCCGCGTTCTTTCGAAACGTGTCTTGTAGAGAGTCGAAAATCAGAATGTCTCGCAAAATTCGGGACGATTAGTCACCCTAGTTAACTGGTCTGTGCAAATATTACTTGAGGAACTTGTGCATCACCGGCAAAAAGACAAAGTCGAACAACCGCCTGACCGAACACACTCGCCGCATGAAAACAACAAACAGAGCTCCGCACACAAAAGTTCACGTTACACGAGTCCCGTTCAATTAAAACGGCCGGGGAGTCCGCGTTGTGAGGAGACTGACAGCCCGACTGATCTCTCTTTCTCTCTCTCTCTCTCTCTCTCTCTCTCTCTCTCTCTCTCTCTCTCTCTCTCTCTCTC